TGAAGCAATTGCTGGAGAGTTAAAAATAGCATTGAAAATCACTTCTCCTTTCCTCTTGAACTGGTGAGATGCATTCAAAATATGATTTTCAAAAAGTGCGGGAGGTGAAATGGAGGTGCTTTATTATTTTTACAATGGCCAATGAGATTTTAAATTTCATATTTTGCACTCTGAATTTATCTTTAGCCTGACATAGATTATAAAAATAAAATTGTCTGGTCCATTGCTTTCTAGCTGTGAGTTTTCTACATTTTAGCCAATAATGTGTTTGAGACAGGCTTCATTTCTGCTGGGGAAAAGTGCCTAATAATTTTTATAAATGAGTGTATAAAATAAGATAAATTTTATGAAATATTTATGAAAAATGTTTTACCATAAATATTTGTTAAATAAAGATAGGACTTTAACAGAGAAGAATGTACCCTTCTAATATTGCATCAGAGTGTAATTTATCTTTCAATGCCAATCAGACAATAGAAAAGGCATAGTCTCTGCCTAATGAGAAGAGAAGTAATATCAGTTTTAATACTTCTAGCTTCCTTCAAATTAGTGCTGGAAATAGGGCAGAAATTGCCTGTTCTTCCGCATTGATGAGTGCATGGTATTAAAGTGATTCATAGATGTGTGTGCTTTTAGGGATGATTAGTATGACGTTTGACAAAGAAAAGGGCAATATATGGTCAAAGGAATTCAAGGTGGGATTCTGGAACTGACATTCCTTCCATTTCTCCTTCCTTCTCCCTTTCCTTTTGCTCTATATCTTCTGTTACATATGATCTGGTTTTCTTTCAGATTATCCATTTTAATCAGTTTCCTCCATGCCATCCTTATCATCATCATTGTTTCCAGAATCAATGTCAGTGCAGTAATCCACACAAGAAAAAAAGAGAAGAGTGATTAACAATTCATTTATGTGAAGTACTAAATTAAATACAATCTTGAATAGCAGTTTTATTCGCTGGAAATTGGGTAGACAAATGCTTCACACTTCCACTAATAAAAATGTTTTAAAGTGTTACTATAAGAAGAAAGAGAAGTTTTGTTTATTTAGAGTGTGTGTTTTAACTGCTCTCCTGACCAAGTTGTCTTTCTGTCTCATGTGACCTCCTCTCCTTAAGCAGAAGGAATTCCTCCCTTTATGACAGGACTGAATTGCAGCTGTCTGCCAGGATCATACTTGAAAATTCTTTCGTGCTCCAGTCTCACTGGGCCAGCAGGATGGTGAGGAAAAATGAATACTTTGAAATCCTACAGAAGCTTATAATTTTTCTGTGAAAATTACCTGCTGTTTTTATTTGCTAACTACCCAGTCCCACATATTCATTAATGTACTTATTACATAGTTTACTATTTTCTTCATAGTACCCAAATTCTGAGACACTCTTTAAAATCTAGAAATTACACTTGTGATTGATTTAAAATGTTTCTATTTTGAATTGTCTTCCACTTATTGCTCTAATGTTGCCCTTTCATTAGGCCTACCTGACCACTGTATGGAAATTGTCACTTTTCTCCTCCATTTTCTTATTTTAAAGAGAATAAAAAACAATAACAAAATAACAACAACATGGACAAAAACAAAACAAGCAAAAATAATAAAAAATGATACAGGAGGATAGCTAGGATAATTGTACTGCTGATGTCTAATGGTTTATTGAAAGAAACAGTTAATGTTTAATTTTTTAATCAGTTTTCCATGCTTATATCTGGTAATCTGAACAACTAATTTGAAGACAACAATGTGCAGTAGAGTAACCGTTGTTGAATTTCTACCATCTTGTTTAGTGAAGCTCTGTATCATTTCTGTTTTTAAAATTAATTTTTATTCTCTTTTATTGTTTGATCTCCTCCATTTTGTATTCCTAATTCCTTTTACTCTGTTTCGTGGTTGCATAGAATAGACTTCTTTCCAATATAAGAATTAATACATATTTTTATTTAATAAACCCTTACATGACACTTGCTATGTGTTGGAACTATTCTCAATTCTTTGCCAATATTGAGTAATTAACTTTCGTAGAAATGTTTGAAGCAAATACTATTATTTGTTCTATAATTTAAGAACTAGACACAGAGCTAAGGAACTTGTGATCTTTACAGAGCTAGGAAGTGGTGGAACTGCAGTTTGAATGGTGGCTGTGGGGTGCTGCCTCTCACACAGCTCTCCGTGTTTCCAAGGTGAGGACGGTGAGAGGATGGAGAAAAAAGACAAGAACCAGAATACAGGAAACTGAGGCCAGATTGAGCCCTCTCTCCTGATAGGAAGGAAGAAAGGAAGGAAGGAAGGAAGGAAGGAGGAGGGAGGGCCCCAATAGCTGTGGCACATTTATCTATACATTGGGGAGTTGAATGGTAAATGTCTTATGAAACTGCTCCGCCTAATAGCTTATCCACATGGCTTGCCTCAGGCACCCAGCGTTCTTGAGACTAGAGCAGCTCATTCATGCGACTTCCTCAGGCGCTCTGTGTTCTTGAGGCTGGTCTTGCTCTGTCCCACAGTGTGATCTATCTCCAGCTTCCCTGCTCCCATGGTATGTCAACGACCATCCTGCCAAAGTCTACTCTCTGCTCCTCTTTTGACATATTGTATTTATGATGCATCTTCCCCTTATGCCTGTTTAATTTATTGATGTATTGAAGATGCAAAGAATGGCACCTGGAACTTCAGGTGCTCAGTTAACATTTGATCAACAGTCATGTGAGGTAAGTAAGGGAGTAGATTACAAAAGATTTCCAATTTTTTTCTTGTCAGGGAGGGGATGAAGTCAACATTGAATAGTAATCTCAGAAATAAGATGCTAAAGACAAAATCTACATAGGAAAAGGCAGTGTTCTAAAAGAGTTTACTATCACTAGCTGTTCAAGGTATTAGATGAGATCAATGATATGTCGGACTCATACTCCCTAGAATTTACCCATTTCCTCTTTATGAAAGTCATTACTGGCTTCTCTTAGTAAAAATCTTTGTTGACTGGATTCAAAAACATCCTGATGATCTTATTATTTGGCCCATGCAACTTGTTTGTTTGGCTTTGTCTCCTCCAGACTTAAAGCTATATTCCTACCCAAGATGAAAATGCCTGGTGTCTACTGAGGGCCTTTAGATAGAACCTCTGGCGAGTATCTCTGACTGCTGATCAACAACTATGACCCCTTTCATCCTGAAGAAGCCAGAACCATCGCTGCCCATTATTCCCTCATGGCAGTTTGGGTTACTTCTTCAGAGGGGGGAATGTTGGAGGCAGCTGAGTTAAATAGAAATAATGTAGGCAGTCAGACAGGGCTGGGTCCGCGAGGGAGCCAGTATGGAAAACAAGATACCTTGCAGCTGTGGGCCAGACCTCAAAACAAAAGATTAAGCAAATGTACCCACACACCTCCCTCGGGATGGGCATCATCAATTGGTATTCTATGTAGGTAACCATTACCTTGAGATAGCCAGGAAAAGCCACTAAGCCAACCCCCTATAGGAAAAACCCTTATTCTGTGTTCATCTCCACTTGTCAGTTGACTTGCTTCCCCATTTGATCCTAATTTAATCAACTTTACCTGAAAAAATATAATCTTATTGGTCAACCATAGTTTTGTCCCACATCCCCACCTTGAAGTTCCTGTGTTTCCCATCTTGGACCTGCCTCACCTCGTGGTTTGCTCTATAAAAGTCCTTAGAAAAGACAGGTTCCTTGGCAAACCACTCAGGTCCCCTTTGCCTTTCTCTCAGAGAGAAGCTTTCTTTCCTCCAATAAATATATTCTTCTCTTTAAAAAAAATGTGAGTATATAATCTAAACTAAAAGAGAAGAGAGTGTTTTGATAAAAAAAAAAGCAATGACTTGAATGTCTAAATAGAATTTATCCACATACATTGGAAAAAGATGAGTTTACCAGAAATAATTTACTTAAAAGATAAGTTTGCCAGATTTAAGTAGATGTGCTAAGCCTTGAAGGTGAAACTATGATAAAATTGAGGAATTGACATTCTAATAAAATGGAAGTGCTTGGTAGAAGGTAGATAAGATTTATATTGTAAAGGACCTTAGAGTTCATGTTACGGTATTCAGGTTTTTATTTGAAGAAACTGGGAAACAGTTAGAATCCTAGGTAGCAAATTAACATAATTGGATTTCCATTTTGGATATCTGAAGGTATTTCAAGAAGTAAAATAAAGCCAGCAAGAGAGAAGATAAGGAAAAAAAGTAGGAATATACTCACATCCAGAAATCTAGTCAAGAGAAAACAGTACTCCCTCTTGATCCACAGAAGATGTGCTCTAAAAGTGATAGTAGATAGAACCAATGCTTGTATAGATTATATTCTTTCTCTAAACATAGCAACAATAAAGATTAATGTATGGTAAGCACAGTGAGAGATTAACAATAACAATAAAACAGAACAGTTAGTTTTTTAAGAAAATAATAGTTACTTGAACACAAGCAGATTGTTTTAAATGATAAAGGGGTGATGTACACAGATGGATATTCTGGACAGGATGATTGGTATACCAGGGAGGGAGGCTATGGAAATGTACAAGATTTTGTTCTGATCCATAAAAGAGCATACAGTTTAAGTAATTTAAAATCTATGAATGGTTTATTTCTGGAATTAGACATTTAATGATTTTGAGCTATAGTTGACTATGGGTAACTGAAACTACATAAAGGAAAACATTTCCTAGAGTCTGACTTGAGTAACAGATCTTGCTCCCAGATAATATAGGAAAAGTAGAAAATAGGAAGAATTGTTTCAGAAGGTAAATCACAGGTTAATTTGGGCTTTCCAGGTTGGCCACCTTGTGGATGTAGATGGTGGCAGCTCTCAGCCCATGAAAGCACTTGAGCCAAGTACCCATGATACATCAATCTCCCTCACCTTCTCTGTGCCTCCTTCTCTCTCTTCTCTTTCTCTCTTTCCCTCTTTCTCTCTCTCTCTCTCTCTCTCTTCTTTCCCCCCCTTGTTGCAAACACACACACCCCTGCACTAAAAGGCTCAGAAGGGGTAATCTGGTCTTAACCTCTTTATTTCTCTTTGAATTAATCCTCTCACATGGACATCCAATGACTACTAAGAGTCTGTCAGTCATCTATACCAGCAATTTAGTAATAACATGGCCATTTTGTGGCATCCTTCACAAGTTTGTGAGAAAACTCCTGGAGAGTGATTTGTATATCTGGAACTACAGTAAGAATAAAGAGGGTGATCAGATCTTGTAGTTGGCCACATCCATTATGGACCCATCACTGTGCTGGGAGAGAGAAGGTGAACAGTGACACTGGATGTAATAAATTGCACAGGGAAGAGAAGTTCTTTTCCCCAAGTGAGGCTCAAGGGGGTACTGTGGATTTATTCCTCATCATTCACTCCAATCTTCCTGTTTGTGGAAGCTGATAAACAAAATTTTGTACTCCAGTGATCTCTTTCAGTGAAGTAGATCCTCACATTAAATTCCAGTAAAGTTTGTAATAATCAGTTAATAAAGCAGCCATCTTGCTCATTGGAGTGTTCCTGTTGGCAAACAACGTCAGGAAAATGTAAGACTTTTTTTTTTTGAAACAACTGTCCACATTTATTCTTTTTTTTGTTTTGTTTTTTGTGGTACCGGGAATTGAACTCATGACCTTGCACTTGCCAGGCAGGTGCTGTGCCACTGAGCTAAATCCTCAGCCCCACATCCATTCTTTAGGTTCCCCAGAGACAGGTGCTGAGTCTTTTTCCTTCTGTTTTGCATCACAATGAAGTAGCAGCCTCAGAGAGAGTGGCTTCTCCAGTGGTCAGTTCTGTAATGTTCCATGGGATTCTTGGTGGTCCAATTTAGGACACACTTCTTTAGAAAGTTAAGTAACTTTAAGAACCTAAAACTATTCTGATTAAAATGTCCACTGTGATAGTTAATTTGTCTTGTGCCAAGTAATGTGGGAGCAAAAGATAAAGAGGTTCTTGATAGGTGGAACTGGAGAGCTGCTCATACTATCCCACTACTCACCGGTGATGTATCCATATTCCTTCCTTTACACATATATATTATCTCAAAGACTCTACCATAGATGGAAGGCACTTTAGAAATGATGACTGTGTATAGTCTGTGAACAACTAAACTAAACCATTTGACCTAAAGTAGACAGAAATGCTGCTATACCTCCTCTTTGCAAAATAATCCAGTTGGTAAGAGTGTATAAAAAGATAGGTTATATTTGTGACATTTTCTGAGACCAGCTATTTAATTCATATCTTTTTGAAATACAATGAGGTAAAAGAAAAATGTTAAGTTACAAAACAGTATAAACACAAGACATGTGTGTGTGTATGTGTGTTTGTGTTATGTGAAGGCTAAGGTACACTGCATATATATGATTTTTAAAAAAGAGCACAATTTGCTAGACTCTAAATTTCATTACTGGGCATTTTACTTGATTGTAGGCCACTGAACTGTTAGAATAAACACTCTAGCTTCTCTTATTTTGAAGGCCTTTGTGACTTGAATAACTAAGCCAACTGAATACATTTTGAACTTTAATGTCTCCCTAGAAAATGTACTAAATACCATTTATTGACATGATAATTATTAGAATGTCAATCAGATTCTTCTAATTATACCCCAAAACCACTTGAGGAGGCAACTGAATTTGCTTGAATTGTGTTATGAAAAATAACAATGAAGAATAAGATCAATAACCCGAGTTGAACACCACAAAAAATGTACCTGAGAAAAAGCTGCTTTGGGTATTTTCAGATAATTGTTTTAATCAAACTAATAAAGGTGAAGAGTGCTTTAAAAATCAATCTTTAATCTTTCTAAAATAACAGACCCCCCATTTCTCCCTCAGGGGTATTAATCTGAAAACAAAAGAAACATAGTGTACAGAATAAGAACTTCTGAAAGCCAATTGGCACAAAATCTGTATTCAATAAATGTCACAATTAATCTGCCATAATTTAAGAAAAAATTTAATTTAAAGTTGGTTCATTTTATTTAAGGTTCATAATATGAAAAAATATTTATTCTTCCATTATTTTTCTATGCTACTAAAATCTATTTGAAAAATGAAACTGGCAGAATGCTATCTCTTTTGCAATCCACAGTTACTAATTTCTGTCCTTATTTCTTTCAGTATAAAATATGTTGTACTTACATAAAGCTCATAAATTCTTTTTGACTCCATAGTTGTAAAATTGTTAATATTTTTAACTCTGGGAGATATGGTACTAAAAGCTCAATGGAGTGCCAGTTTTATCAAGATAACTTATATGCCATAAAGTTCATCCTTTTTACAGTGTACAGTGTCGTGGTATGTAATGAACAACGAAATAGATTTACAAAGTTGTGCATCAGTCCCCCTGGTCTAATTCCAGAACATTTCAGCATCCTCCCCCAAACCCTTACATGTGTTAGCAGTCATTATTTCTACTCTTCCAGACCTGATTGATACCCATAAATCTGCTTTGTATCCCTTTTGATTTACCTACTCTAGATACTTACATATAAGTGGAACCATATATTGTATGGCCTTCTTTCATATAGATTATTTAATTCAGCACCCCTTTTTTAGGATTCACTCATGTTGTATCTTGGATCAATATTTCATTTCTTTTAATTGCTGAATATAATTTGATTGTATGAATAAAAGGAAACATTTTTGTTCTGGGTAGTTTATTTCATATCTCTTCTCATTTTTTCCTGTTTTTTTTACCTTAATATTTTATTTCCAGGTATTTCTCCCATATTGTCTATATTGTGGATAAATCATTAGTAGGCTGGAAAGAATCTTTAGTCAGGACATGGTTCTTTGTGTCTTTCCAGACCAATATTATGACTACTGTATTTATTATAAATGTGTAAAATGTCTTTGAATTTGGAAAGGAGGGTCTTCATTTTTGGTTTTTCTTTTCAGAATTGTCTGTTTATGCTATTATATATATGTTCCTTTAAGTCTGAAACAATTTTATGAATTCTTTCCCCTCTCATTGTAGATTCATTTTGTTTAGAATTTTACTGAGTTTACAGATGAGTTTTGGAAGAGTGCTGCATTTACAATATGTATTTTCATTTTACTTAGAATTGTGTTGAACTTACAGATAAATTTTAGAAAAGTGCTGCACTTAAAATGTGGCAATTCAACATTTCTAATGCAGTAACATCATTTACCCTTCCAAGATTATTTTTTCTTATTTCAATTATTTTTTGGAAAGGTATTTTACACTTCTTCTCTCTACTGTCTTAAATAAGCTGTTGTATCAGACTACCACACACAAGAGTAACTGAAAGAGGGGCTGGAGATTTAGCTCAGTGGCAAAGTTCCTGCCTGGCAAGCGCAAGGTCGTGAGTTTGGTTCCTGGTACCAAAGGGGGGAAAAAAAAAAAAAAGAGTAACTGAAAGAATGAATATACATTTCCCACGGTTCTGAAGGCTGGAAGTCCTGAGACCAGGATGCTAGTATGATTGCATTCCTAAGTTTCTGGTGAAGACCTTCTTCCTGGTTTACAGGGAGCTACTTTATTAACTGCATCATCACATAGATAGGAGGAGAGAGGTGAGGGAAAGATCTTTATCTCTTGTTTTGGAGTACTAATTCCATTCATGAGGTATCTACTCTCATGGTGGAATGATTCTTCCTACCCACAAACCCTAACTCCACATATCATATTGGAGATTAGAGTTTCCACATACAAATTTGGGGGAGTTAAAGAATTCACTCTCAGCTGGAACCACCTACTCTGATGAAGGGGATCAGTTTTGGGAATATCACACCAGACATTGCAAATTTCAAGGCATGCAATGTGTTCTCACACTATTCCTTTTGCTGGGCACTGTTTGCTTTTCTCATTTTTACACTGGGCAATGTTGTTAAAGCAGATAAAAACACTGGCTTGGCTCTTTAGATTAACATCTCTGTCCTGATATGGTTCAGGAAGTACTGCAGGGAAAACTTGGAAGACACACCACTTTCTTCAGATACATTCTAGTTCAGAGCTACCTTTTCTCCAATCACATACCTACGTGTTTTCTGACACAGAGTCATATATATATGTATAATTTATGATATCTACGTGAGCTGGATATCTACGTGAGACATTAGCTTGTGTTATATTTTAATCTTCCTTTCAAAAGTCTTTTGGGGGAAGTGGATTGCTATAAGTTTTCTTTAGTCCTTCATGATTGATTTTATTTGTAGATTTCCCAAAATTTATCATGGAAATAGTAGTAATATTTTACGGCAGTATTTTGCATTATTTGCCAGTGATAGGCAATACTTTTTCTTGTAGTTTAAAGTATTAATATTCATTGCAGGAAGGAATACATGTGAAGGTTGAAACACCAGGCAAGAACATTTGATCACATGCTTTCCTTTGTTTTTTGTAAGTGGATGCCACTTATTAGCAGGATAAGGGAGATTATGTTGAAACAAATGTATCCCTCAATGGCTTACAAAAAAAAAGTTTTGTTTTAATGTAATCTGTATACCCACTATAGACAGAGTTACCAGATAAAATATTGGACATATAATTACTCTTGAAAACCAGATAGCCAAAATTATAATAGTAATTTTTTTACATAATATAATAGCATTATATATTTACACACAATTAGTGTAAATTATGTCCAATTTAATATTTGGGATATATTCATCCTTTAAGTGCATCTGTTGTTTATTTGAGATTAAAATTTATAGGGGTGCTGCATTTTTATTGGCTATATCTAAAAATCTATATTGTAGTCATACAATTGTGAGTCGTATCTATTGTTGCCAATCACTGACTCAGGTTGATGAAAATTTTATGTTATCATGTCTCACAATTGCAGAGGAAGGCCTTAAAGACCGACTTGATCTTCTTTTTTCAATGGGGAGGGAATCATAATTTCAGTTTGTGACTTGCTGTTCAGAGGTTTCAGTGAAACATCCAAGAGGGATATGGAGAAACAGTTTGAAAGAGCCACCTGGATTTCAGGAGATAAGACTTCCTCACTTCACAGGCTCGGTGACTTCTCCAGATGTTGATTTATGGTAGAGATAGAAAGCAACACTGATACATCTTGTCCATATTTCACATGCTCCACACCATTTGTTACCTGATGATCCCTTTGGTCACTTATGTTAGGTCATTTTTATCTGTTTACTTTATGAATCTATCTCTTGTTCTATCTATCTATCTATCTATCTCTCTATCTATCCATCTATCATCTATCTATCATCTATCTATCTATCTATCTATCTATCATCTATCTATCATCTATCTATCTGTCATCCAGCAAAATTTAATAATAATTTAAAAATAATTCTATTAGGCTTTGCCTTTGTAGATCCTTCATAAACACTGGTATGTTTAATGAGAAAGGATCTATTCTTTGGCAAAATACTATGTGATGCCTTTAAACTTCTATTTCTTTCACAATACAGTAATTTAAATATGTAAATGGAGACACACACACACAAAAAAAAAACAAAAAAAAAAACAAGGAAAGAAACCTATACCTGAAGGAGAGTTAGGTGAGCAGGTAAAAAAGGGCA